AAAATTAATGAAATTTTCTAAAATTCCATTTAGAGGATAATTTAATTTTTTTTAAAATCTTATTCAAGTTAAATTGTTATCAAATAATTGAAAAGTTTTGATTAAATTGAAATTTACAAAATAATTTTTATTTTTAAAGAATCTTATTGAAATTTAATTTTAATAATCAAATAACTGAAAAGTTTTGAAATAATTAAAATTTTCTGAAATTCTACTTAAGAAATCATTTTTTAGAGACTTTTATTAAAATTGAATTGTTATAATCAAAAAATTGAAAATTTGAGATTAAATTGAAATTTTCTAAAATAAATTACATTTAAAAAATAATTTTATTTTTAAAGAATCTTATTGGAATTGAATTCTTATAATTAAATATAATTGAAAGTTTTGAAATAATTGAAATTTTGCTGAAATTTTACTTAGAAAATCACTTTTTAGAGATATTTATTAAAATTAAATTGTTATAATCAAATAATTTAAAAGTTTTAATTTCATTGAAATTTTCTAAATTTCTTTTTAAAAAATAAGTAATTGGACTTTTAAAGAATTTTATTAAAATTTTAGAAAATACTCGAGGAATGTTAGGCAATATTTTTTCTTTTTTTGAAATAGGTCGACAACTTTAAATAAATTTTTAATTATTTTAATAAGTTTTTTGCTTCCTAATATTCTCGTTTGTTATAATTGAATTCTCGTTGAATTTTGTTTTCCTTGTAATCAGGAAAAAAATCAAAAAATTCTATCAGAGAAAAGTCAGAAAAAAATCAAAATGAAATTTTTGTGCCAACAAAAATTTATTTAAATTATAAAGAGGCAATGGTTCTTATTGATATGACAAAAAATATTAATGCTCCTATATATTTTTTTCTATATCCCTCTTATTCTTAAAAGGTGTGCAACCGCAATTTCATTAAAGTAAAAAAACTCGAGTTAAATGTTTTCTTCGCATTGAAGCAACTTGTCTTTTTTTGTACGAAATATATATAAAGAACCTTTTACAGAATAGTCTCTCTTATAGTTTACCGAGTTTTTATTCAACCCGGTTTTAACTGAAACTCAACCTGCAGCTCAACAGATAGATAAATAGAATGAAGAGGAGTATATGGCAAAGTAGAAGAAAAATAGAAAACGTGTATTTCTCTGAAAATGACCCCTTCTATCTTGATTCACCATTTTATTTAAGTTTCTCGCTTCTTGATACTCGAATATTTTATTTTCCTTTTTTTTAAAAAGAAATTTTTTTCTTGAAAAATTTTTTCCTCTTTTTCTTTTAAAGATTTTTTTACTTCTTATTAATTTTAAGAATTAAAGAATTAAAAACAATTTTTAAAATTAGATTATAAAAACAATTTTTTTATATAGAAGATATTTATGAAACAAAAGAATATCTTTGAAATTGAATTGATAATTATTAATCACATATATTAAAAGAATATCTTTTTGAAAATTAAGCGAAAAAAAATCTCAGAAGATATTCTTTAATGTTAAACAAAGGTAAAAATAATTTTTAAGAAAACATTTAAAGGAATAGCTTCTTTAAAATTAAAAAAGGAGGAATATCTTTTAAAACAAAGATATTTAAAGAAAATTAGCTGAAAAGTTGAAAAATTGAATACCACAGAAAGCAAATTGTGAGGAAATATTTTTATTGAAACTGCATAGCTTTTTTGTTGTTTACATTTTTTTTCTTTTTCTTTTTTTTATGAGATGTGTATTCTAATAATTTTTAACTTGATATTTTTGAATCCTTTGGGAAATGCAGCCGGGAGAAAGGAGTATATTTGAAAGAGGTTGCCTGCGGGCAGGAGAAGAGTGGTTAGAAATGAATCTCGTACCTGTAGCGGGTATGATTGTCAGCACGATGGTCTTACAGGTATCACTCGAGTTGACAAGAGTGTATTTTATCCCACTCCATAAAACTTTAGATTATTCTCTTGTGTTTTTATTCAACTCGACATGCTGATTTTAAAACATTTACTGTTATCTTTATTTAACAGAATTAATGTTTTTTTTTCATTTCTTTAAATATTTTCATTTGTATTTTTCAAATATTTTTTTTTCTCTAAGAAAGATCCCAAGCAAATTCACTGAATTCAGCAGAATTTTCACTTGAATTCTAGTAAATATTAGGTAAACATTATGTAAATATTAACACAATTATTTTTTAGAGAAAATTTTACAATTTTATTTTTATTATTAATTTTTATTATCAATATTAACTAAATTTTTCTATTTTTGAATTTTGCGCCAAGATAGTTCACTAGATTTCCGCCCAGATGGCATGAAAATTCGCTCACAAACAAAATTGATCGAATAGTTAAAAACAAAATTTTTCTTTTTTTGAATTTCGCGCCAAGAAAGTTCACTAAATTGCCGCCAAGATGGCATGAAAGTTCTCTCACAAACGAAGTAAAGTGAATCAGTCCACGTAGCCAAAAGTCATTTAAGAAAAAAATAAATAATATAAATTATAATAAATTATAATCCTAACAAATAATTTTTGATAATAATTCTAGTAAAATTTGTGTACTGGGATTTTTTTCGCTTAAAAATATATTTAAAAGAAGAATACATAAATTTTCTTTTTCTACCAAAAAGGAAGTTCCAACTTGTAAAACTTTTCATAAAAATATTTTTAAAAAAAGGAGTTGAATAAAAAACAGGATTAATTCAAAATTTAATTTTTTTCTTATGTTGGTTCGTAAAACGTTTATATCATTGTTCTTTAGAAGCAAAAAAAAAAATTATTGCATGAAAATTTTCTTGAAAGCACCGTCACGTATTTTATATATAGTGTTTTGCATTTACTTCTTTCTCTTTTTTTTTTCTCCTGTACCTTTGAGCTTTGAAGATAGATATTTAATCCGACAATTCCGTTGCACTGCAAAGGGAGTTATAACTTAACTGATAAATCCAGGATTAATTAGATTTTTAATTGCTTTCATCCCCCTTGGGTGATTGTCATGAAAAAAGTAAAGGAATCAAAAGCGAGAGCTTCATTAAGATTCATAAAATGTAACTGGAACAGAATTTTGATCTTTTGAATCGGAGATAATGGGAATTTTGTTATCTGGCTTTTTTGGGTATGGGAGGTTGGAAATATTAAAAGGTAATTTTTTCCGATTTCTGAGAAGTTTAATCTTCTTATGAAGAAATGATAGTATTATATATATATATAATTCTTGTGCGCACGTTCTATCTCTCTTATACATTTATCGAAATTTAAGCGCGACAATTTCCCTTTTAGAATTTTGTGTGCATGATGTGAAAGTTCAACATTCTTTATGCACATTTAACACGCGAAGAAATAATATGAGTTTTTCCTGTTTTCATAATCAACGGACTAATTTATTTTTCCCGGGCGGATAAAATATTGTGACACTTAGTAAATTGCAATGAGACCCTCGTGATTGTGAATCATTTCTGGCAATGCAAAATTTTCTTGATGCTATTCTTTTAAACTAAGAAGAGAATTTTTTTTAATTCGATTTTTCATTTTATTTTCGGTTTCGTCACAAAGAAAAAATTTGCTATAATTAATTATTTAATTTAAGTAAAAAAAAATATTTTTTCAAACTCTGATTAATTATTTAATTAGCTAACTAAATATTTTATCTGTTCCAAAGCAAAAATATGTGATGATTAATTATTTTATTTAATTAGGTAAAAAATATTTTTTTGAACAAGATAGAAGAAATATTCTCGGTGCATTTCGAGAAAAAAAAATAATGATAATTTAATAGAAAGACTGTCTTGTTAGTCTAATGTATTCTAATTAACTTTAATAATTATTAATTAATATTAAATTGAGTAAAAATTAAAAAATAATAATATTCATAATACTAATATTCACCACGAAGCAAAAGTTTGCTGTGTTCCATCTATTATGTAATTTAATTATTTTTCTCTAATTTAACATTAATAATTAATTTTAATTATTAAATATTGATATTAAATAATTTAAATAAAAAAAAATCCAAATATTAAAATAAATTCTTATTATCTCTTTTTTCTCAAAAAAGGATGGACTAATATAATCTACAGAGCTTTAATCTATCAAGGATTAAAATAATCCTTCCAAGAATTGCTTTTTAAAAATTATTAAAAATTTTAATTCAGAGACAAATTTTTGTGACAGAAAATTCTATTTTAATTTATATTATTAATTTTTTTTTAATTTACTGTGTATTTTTGCCATTTTTATCACAATGAAAAATTTTGCTATGTTTAATTATTTAATTTAATATTATTTATTAATTTATAGTTTAATAATAATTTAAATATTATTTTTTAATTTAATTTATTTCTTTTTTTTCTACTAATTTTGTACATTATGAATAAGTTTTTCTTTAATGTTTCAAATTTTCCCGGAACTTTCTAAATGAATAAAATTTGCTATTGGTGAAAATGTAGTGGAGAGGGGATGAATTTCGTAATAGCAATGCAGCGCATGCGTGGCGTCCCCCCACTTTTAATCGGCGGCTAGAGAGGGGAGTTCCCCCACCTAAATTCTTGAATATATAAATACGAACTCGCAGAATTTGGTCACACTTTCTCGAAATGCGTCCTGAGTATCTGTTCCTTCATCGTTTAGAAAAAAAATATTCAAAAAAATATTTTTTTTTCAGTTAATTTTATACAACATTTTTATTAATTTCTTATTTAAATTAATAAAAATTGTATTTATTTATTTTTATTTACTTATTTTATTTTTATTTATTTATTTTGTCACTTAATTTTATTCCACACTTTTATTAATTATTTAAAATATCAAAAATCTAGAATTGCTTTTTTCTGATTGCAAATTATATTTTAATGAAGTATTTTCTAGAAAATATTTACAATTATTGCAATTTTTAGTTGCATTTTTCTTTTTTCTGGTTGCATTTAACAATTTAAAAAGCGCAGTCTTCAGGAGAAATTTTCCTCCAGTTTCCAGTCAGACATCTGTAACTGTTCTTCTAAGCTGGTAAGCAGTAGAGAATTATGTTTGTTTTCAGAACTTTGATGTCGGCAAAGTAATATATGAAAAAGGGTGCGTTCAAGCAGGCGAGGAGTGGATGGAGAGAAACCTTCTTGCCATAGCCACTGGTGTTGTTGGAATGGCGTTTGTTCAGGTATATTTAAGCAAAGAAAGTAAACAAAAAAAAAACTCTTTTTAATTTAACTTTTTCTCTTTTTTCCTTTTTTACTTTAATTTTTTAAATTAGCATTTTGTATTCGTTTTTGAAATTTTAATTTTTGTTCAAATTTTATTGTTTAAAAGTAATTTGTATTGTTATTAATTTAAAAAAAAATAATACTCGAGGGAATGTTATAAAATATCAAAGAAACAAACAGTTGAATGTGGCATTGTTTCATATAATGTGAAGTTGCTATGATATTCAAAATAGTGAAATATAATTTAGATATATAATTAGAAATTCTAGCTGTTAGTTACGGCTAAGTGAGGTTTCTGGTTTAGTCAGTTAATATCCAGTTTATATTGTTATACAAAAACAAGGGGTTTAAAATGAATTTCAAATTTGTTTGCAAATAATATTAAAGTTTCATACGCATTTGATTTAATTGTAATTTTGATTTTTGCAACATTTGATTTCAGAAAATAATTAATTTGTTAATAATATGATACTTCCAATACTAATATTTACATTAGGAATAATACTTACTAATACTAACACTACTGATAATAATTATTAGGTACTAATACTAATATCTAGAAAATACAAATAAAAACAATAACATTTTTTAAAAATTATTTTTATCGAAAATTTATTTTTCACTGATATTTATTTCTTTTATCATTCAATTTTTGCGCTTTATTTAAATTTTTATTATTGACCCATATAGAATAGAAAATTCATTGATATTTTTTTTATTTTTTATTCAATTTTTTTTTTATCAATTTTTATTTGACCTGTATTGAATAGAAAGTAGTTGAAAGAAAAAAAAATTCCACAGTATTTTTTTTTTATTTATTAAAATCAAGGATGATATCTACCAAGGTTGAGGTGAGCTTTATTACCATAATTGAATTATTTAAATTGCACTTTTTTAAAACTTAAGTAATTACAGTTTTTTTTTAAATGTTTGATTTTACATAGTTGCTTCGTAAAAAAAAATAGTTTGCTTAGCTGTAAAAAAATGCAAGAGTTGAAAGAATTTAATTTCTTTTCGCAGAAAATAGTAGAAATAAAAGTGGATGCAAAAAATTAGTGATTAAAAATATGAGTAATTTAAATGGTTCTTAATAACAATTACTAATAATAATTGGACATATTAACAATAATAATAATTGTTAATAATAACTGGATTTTTTTAATAATGATTATTGTTAATAAAAATTGGGATTATTAATAACAAATAATCAATTTATTACAAAAATTGTTGACATTAATTGGAATTATTAAAAAAAACCTTAAATTAATAATTTTAATTAATTAATAATAACAATTATTAATAATACTTTAACTTATTAGCAATAATAATTGTCAATAATAATTTGAATTATTAATAATCTCAATGTTTATAAATTAATATTATTGAAATTGTTAATAATAACGATTTCTAAAAAAACAAAATTAATTAATTAATAAAAACAGTTGTCAGCAACAATTCTATTTTTTAGCCGTAACAATTGATAATAATAATTGGAATTACTAATATTTTTTGCAATTAATTAATAATATGAATTGTTGACAATATTTAATTTTAATAATTATAACAATTGTTAATAATAAGTGGAATTACTAAGAAAAATTTTTAATAATAATTTAATAACAATTAACAATGGCTAATAATGATTGAAATTAATTAATGACAATAATTGTTAACAATAATTGAACCTATTAGCAATAACAATTGTTAATAATAATTGATAATACTAATAACAATTGTATCTAAAATTTGGAATCACTAATAACTGCTAATATTAATTGCAATGACTAATAATATTTGCTAATAATTGAAATTAATTAATTAATAACAACAATTTTATTGTTAACCATAATTGAACTTATTAGGAATAAAAATTATTAACAGTAGTTGGAATTACCAATAATAACAATTGCTATTAATAATCAAATTTAATTAATTAATAATTAATAATAGGTAATAATTTTTACAAAATAAATTAACTTATTAATTTTGACAATTCTTGATAATAATTGAAATTACTACTAATATTTGCTAATAATAATTGAGATCTTTAATAAAAATTGTTGATAATTAATTGAATAAATAAATTATTAATTAATTATAATATTAATTAATATTACAGTTTTCTTTTTTTAATTTTTTTCTTATTATAATTATTATGAATAATATATTAATTACTGTCATTTATTATTAATTATTAATAACAGAATAAAACATATTCAAAATATTATCATTTGAAAAAAAATTCTCATGAAATTAAAAATACTTATTCTTTTTCTTGCAGATCGTTGGTATTTGTTTCGCTCAAAATCTGCGGGCGGATATATTCGTACAAAAAGCAAAGTGGCATTGACATTCGAGGGCCCCCACGGCAGTTTAGCATCTTGTACTGATCAAGAATGCTGACCTACCACGTTTGTGAAGACCGTAACAGCCAAGATAATATCGAAATCGTTTCTCCCTTACATTAGCATCGCATTTGTTTATAGAATATAAGTCATCATGAAAGATAAGAAAAATTTTAATTCAACTTCAAAAGTTCAAAAGAGCTGCCTTATATTTATACATTATAACTGTCCACGTTTGTCTCGTCTGTAACATTTTTTTTTTCATCCTAAAACGAAAAATTTCCCATAAAAAATTAATTTTCAAATACAATTTTAAAGCGGAGAAAATTCTTCTTCTTTGTGAAGAAAAAATTCGCTTCTTGTTCCAAAGGAGAAGAATTCTGATAATTAAATTTTTTTCGCAAAGAAATTTCTGAAAGAAAAAAATTTCCGTATATTAGTTGTTCTTTTTTTTTTTAAAGTCGAATAGAAAAATTGAAGAAACAATAATTTTAAATTAGGAAAATTTTTTGTTTTTTCAAATATTGTTTCTTGTGATACAAATTCTCTTCTGAAATACTATAAATAATTTTTTTTCAGTGTGAGAAAAAGTAAAAGCAATGTTGACAGGAAAAATGTTAATGTAATGTAGTCTCTTATTATTTCACGTCGGAGTTTTTTTTTCTATATTTACCGTTAGATGTGTGTTGACCTTTTTCGATCCCATGTTGTATATCATATAATGTGAAGATTGGCGAAGATTGCACTCAAGTGACGTGATGTAAATGGATGTGAATTGTTGTAATACAAGTTCTCGGCTGGGCAAATCTTTTGTACCTTACTCACGTATACACATTGTTGTAAATAGCGTAAATTCACGAGTCACAATAAATCGCAACGGAAGTTATGGCCAGTGGCCTGCATTGCATATATATGTATATACTTTCCGTCCATTGTGGTAAGGTATTTTAGTTTACCATCCAAGGTGCTTTTCATCAAGTGCAAGCTTCGCCAATTTTCGGCAACACTTTAAAATGTCCCATTCAATATAAACTGTAATCAATTCCATTAATACATAACGTACCAACTTTATGGATTAATGGAAGCTTTCAGGAATTTGCAAAATTGCTAAAATTTCGCCTATAATCATTAGATTATAGGCTGGAAAATATTTCACTCCATTGTTTTTATTTTACCGAACATTATAATGTTAGTCAAGGATGTCATCAATTTTATTAGAAAATTGTTATCGAAGCGGAAAAATTTCATCTGAATATTTTTATAATGAAACGTGATAGAAACAAGTTGTCAAGTTAAAAAATATGATTTCAAGGACTATTCATTTTTATCTAGAAGGAAAAACAAATTTTTTTTAAATTAAAAATTAAAAGCACAAAAATTGAAAAACAGATTTTTCTAAATGTTTAAATTTTTCTCGAAAGAAAAAACAGAACTGTTTTGAAAATTGTAGTAAAAATACAAAACTTTCGAAATTGATTTTTCCAAATGTTCAAATTTTTCTCGAAAGAAAAAAGAAAAACTGTTTTTGAAAATTGTATTGTAAGAATCATATTTTTCTCCTGAGATCCGCTTCTTTCTTCAGGAAATTTTTCTCAAAAAAAAAGTCTTGAAAATTCCAATAAAAGAATTTTATTTTTCTGCTGAGATCCGCTTTCTGTTTTTATGTAATAATAATAATAAATAATTAACATTTAATAGATAATAAAAAAAAAAAAAAAAATTGTGAAGAATCTCTGACGATGACGTGAATATGTGGGCGGCTCAGGGACAATTTAACGGTTCATATAACGCATCCTTTAAGGTGAAAAGAAAATTTAAAAAAATAATAATCAAGTGCGGCTAATTGGGAAAACCGATATCGAATTACTCAACTTTGAAAGTTGAAGGTTAATCAAGGTTCAAGTCAATCAACGTGGTTTCGTGGGGGCGCGGCATTGTCTGGCCGACCTTGCCGCAGGGTAAAATTTCTCGCCTCAGGCGACACTTTAGGGCCATCAGTTATAAGTATATACAAAAAAAATAGACTTTCCTATTATATTCCGCTCGTATATTTAATTATAAACAATGATCGTTGTACACTGAGCAAAAAGTTGTCGGATATTATTTTCTATTTTCTCTCTCAACAAAAATAATAATAAAATAAAAAAAAATGAAAGAAAAGAAAAGAAAAATATTCCAATACTTGAAAATTTCTTTATTAAAAAAAACCCTATTTGTAAAAAACTAGTATTTCCCGACTGAATTTCGACAATCTTGTTAATATCTTTACTGAATGTATTTGCAAAAAAAAAAAAAAAAGTGATTTATGTCCATATACAAAGTTGTACCAAAAAGTGTGTTCAATATTTATCTATAGATTCTTTTTTTTGACGTTATTTCAAAAACGAAGATCTCTTCACATTGAATTTTGAAAGAATTTTGAAAAACTACGAAAAAAAATTAAAAAGATAGAAAAAAAATGTTAAATGCTAGGAAAAGACTGTAAGAGCTACGAAAAACTGCAAAAAAAATAGGAAAACATTGTAAAAGCTACGAAAAACTGCAAAAGCCACGAAAAAACAATAAAAGATAAGAACAAATTTGAGGAACTAGGAAAAAAAATTCAAAAACTAAATTTAAATTCTATTCAAAAAATAAAATATTGAAAAATTACCGAAGAGAATTTAAAAGCTGTGAAAAAACATGTAAAGATGGGAAAAATTATTAGAAGTCCAGAAAAAACATTGAAAAAACTACAAAAAAATTTTGAGAAACTAGAAAAAAAAATTTTTAAACTAAATTTAAATAGAATTAAAAAAATTAGCGAAAAGAATTGAAAAAGATACGAAAAAACATGAAAAGTTAGGGAAAAGCCTTTGAACAAACGAAAATACATTGAAAAACAACGGAAAAATATTTTGAAAATACGAAAAAAATTCAAAAACTATTCAAAAAATAAAATATTGAAAAATTACTGAAAAGAATGAAAAAAAAACAATAAAAAACTACGACAAAAATTCAAAAACTAAATTCAGAAACTTTTATTTCACAAAATAAAATATTTTCTTCTTCTTTAATTTAAAAGTAAAAAAAAAAAAATATTTCTAAAACTATAATTTTCAATCCAAGAAAACACTAGTTAGCGAAAAAGTTTATATTAAAAAAAAAGAAACCTAGCGAATAATGAAATAATAAAAAAAGAAATAAATATCGAATAATAACTTCCACTAATTTTTTGCATCAGTGTAGAAATAAATACTGAACAAAAAACTTGAGCATTTATTGATCATGCGAAAAAGTGATAAAAAAGAACAAGCGGACGCTCCTATTTTTATTTTGCTCGATATACATTCCAGTTTAAGAATATGAGTATAAAGCTCGTGACTGGACAAACAGCGAAAGTTGTATGTCTTAAAGAAAAAAAAAATAATAATAATAATAATTTTAACAATCAATAAAGAGAGAAATTTCAGCGATAGGAAACAAAGCGAGAGCACAAATGACAAAAAAAAATTGTAAAATCTCTCGGTAAAGTTGTGAACGTGAAAGTTAAAATATAATAAATAATACAAATATAAATATACTACGAGAAATAATTATTGTAAATAAATGTAAAAAATTTATTATTATTATTTGTTAATTAATCAATAAAAAATGCTAAATGATTCACAAGTTCTGAATTAGTTCAAATGATCGAAATATTTGTCATTATACACATTTACAAAAATTAATAATAAAAATTAAAATTGATTTGTCATTTAAAAATGTAAATTAAATATTTTTAAACTTAATACAGTAGTACAATAAATTTAATTAATAAATAATATTTAATTATTATCAGCGAAATAAAATTTTTATTTGAAGCAGAATTGAATATTCCTTCGTTTGAACGTTTAGAACTTTAGGAATATTGTTAATAATATTAATATTAAAAATATTAATAATAAAATTAGTAATAATTGAAAATTTTAATAATATTAATAATAATAATAATAATAAAAAAATACAAATTATTTATAATAATTATAACGGTAAACAAATGAGACAAATTCAGGTAAAAAAAAAGAATGTGATAACTAATAACCAAGTGTCAGATAGAAGGCAATAATTTGTTTCATACAAAAAGAAAAAATATTTAATAAATTTTTAGAATATTAAAAGAAGAAAAAATGCATTTTCACGATCACAGCTTTACTGTTCAAAGTGATATCGCTTCCAGAGCAGAAATATTTTGAATTTAATGGTATGGATTTTTTGCGAAAATGTTATAGAGAAAAAAAAGAGAGAAAGCGAGAATGTGAGTGAGGACAACACGAAAAGTGATATTATCTCTTAGATATGTAATATACTGTAGAGATGTTAAGAAACAAAAAATAAAAAGCAGAAATTTTTTGTCACGTCCCTTTTATAATATTTTGTTTCACTCAACTAAATGTGATTATAAAAAAAAACAAAATGGATGTCACTCAATCCCTTCGAACTGTCTGTTACAATTTTTCCTTATAAATATATATAAATAATTATTATAATTCTTTGCTTGTATACTAATGGACTTACAAAAAAAAACTCGCTGTAAAAAATAGTTAAACCACTTTCTATATGCCAGTTTTACTGAAAAAAAACGAAAAAAAAAGAAACAAGCAAAATGTGTGTTCTTGAATGACATCCTCATATAAGAGACTTGGTTGCTATTTTTTTATATATACAAAAAAATAAATAAAACAAAGCGCTTGAATTTTAATAAAAATAAAATCTGTTTTGCGGAATTAAATACTGCCACGATTAATAATAATAGATAATTGATAATAGATTTTAGTTTTAATTGTATAACTGAAATGTGTTCATTTTTTGCGAAAAGATTTCAATTTAGGTCGGGGTAATTTTTTTTCTTAGAGAATCCGTAGTTTTTTGAGAGAAAAATCAGAAAAAAATTTGAAAGTGATTTTTCTACGTACAGTATATAAATTGTGAAAAGAACATTTTCTCGAAAAATATTAACGAAAAAAAATATTTTTCCATAAAAAATGTTTTTTTTTTAAATTGAAAATTTTTTTTAATATAAAACGTTTTTTTTTTTTAAACAAAATATAGAAAATATTTTCTAACAAAAAACATTTTTCAAAGAAACGAAAAATATTTTTCAATAAAAAATATTAAAAGAAATAGAAAATATTTTTTAACGAAATGGAAAAATATTTTCTAATAAAAAATATTTTTCAATGAAATAGAAAATATTTTTTAATAAAAAATCGTTTTTAGAGAGACAGAAAATATTTTTAAATAGAAAATATTTTCAACAAATAGAAAATAAAAAATCGTTTTTAGAGAAACAGAAAATGTTTTTAACTAGAAAATATTTTTTGTTTTTTTTTAATAAAAAAAATGCTTTTTTTTAAAACAGAAAATACTTTTTAATAAAAAAAAATTAAATACAATAAATTGAAAATTTAATTATTTCGAAAACGATTCTTTTCAAAGAAACAATTCTCTTTTAAGAATGGAAAATTTGATTCAAACGAAAAAATTCAATAGAAAGTTTTTCAAATAAATTAAAGAAAAAAAAAAAAAATGAAAGATTCTCTGATGAAACAATTTTGCTCCAATTTTATTTTGAATATTCTAATTCTAATTGACTATAAATAATTATAATTTGCTCTGATTGCACTAATTTGTTGCTTACATGAACATTATTTGAAATTAGTTTCTATTTGTTAGTCGTAATATAAAAGTGACTACAATTTGACACTATTGACATGATGTTAATTAGTGATAAGTTATAAGTTACTAATAATGTGCCGTCAAGATTATTAAGAATGGGTTTAGCAAAGGCTGTGCTTATGCAATTACTCGTATTGTTTGTTTTTTTTACTGCAGTACAATATTTTTTTTCTTCTAATTTCTCTTATTACAATTAAACAGAAAGAAATTTTTTTATTCAAAGAAGAAATTATTTTTTTCTTCAACTACTTGTAGAATTTTTTTTTACAGTACAATTTGTATTATTCTGCAATTTATCAAATTGTTTTTACTGTGGAAATTGTAGAATCCTTTTCTTACACAATTTGTAAAATTTTTTTTATAGAACAATTTGTAAAAAAATTTTTTTTTGTACGATTTGTAGATTTTCTTTATAGTAAAATTTGTAGAATTTTTTTTTATGGTATGATTAGTGGAATTTTTTTCTATTGTACAATTTGTGGAATTTTTTTTTTATTGTAGATTTCCTTTTCCGTTTATTTTTGATTAATAAGGAAATTATTATTTTTCACATTGGACGAACAATAGAAATATTTTTTGCTAAACCCAAAATTTACAATTACTGCGCTATCTTGTGTGTTGTCAGAGTGTAAATTGTTTCACAATTTTGTTAATAGCAAAATATCCTGTTTTGTAAATAGTTGTCATAATTATTTTTACGCTTTAATGCAGAATTCAATTAATTTGCTTGATTCTGTTAAATTTAATTAATTTTAACCTGGAAAGAAAATGGTTTATAATAATTGTAATTTTTATTAATTAACAATGAAAATGTATTATAATTTTGTATTATAATACACATGAAAATGCAAATAAAACAGGATATTGATTCTGCCATATAATACCTCGCACAGATTATTATAATAAATAATAATGAGAAAAAAAAATAATTAATCTAAATTGTATAATGAAGTAATTTTATATTTCCGTTATCTTTCTTTACTCAGTATTATACTCGTCCAATGTTTTCATTTCATTTTTTTTAAATTCTAAAAACTGTCTATATTTCTTTACGATGATTTTTAATTTGTACTGCAATAAACAATCATTTTCATTTTGTTCGTTTTATTCAACTTTCCAAGTCCGATTTTTTTTCTCTTTGTGTTAAAAATTAAGAGCGTGATAAATTTTTGTGTACAATTTGTAGAATTTTTTTTCACTGTAAAATTGTGGTCGAGATAAAAAATTTGTCTTAATTTATAAATTAAATTATTTTAATTCTAACATAAACGAATTTGAAAAATTAAAACAAATTTCTCTTTTGAATAATTTTTCTTAAATTTGTTTCAATTAATTTAAGAAAAATTTTTTTTTAAATTAATTCCTTTTAATTTATTTTAATTAATTTCTTTTAATTTCTTTTAATTGATTCCTTTGATTAATTTCT